AGTGATAGGACTAAGAGCTCTTATGAAACCATTTTGTGTCTTCATGATATCACTTTCAGGATAATAGCCCTAAACAAATACCTGCTACTTAGATAAATTCTGTTATTAAAATAACTCAAAAGAAGAAAAGTGCATGGAATTTTAATCTTCACAGCTCAGCTAACGTTGACTTATAACCTCACGCTTTTTGTTCGATTGTCTTCAAATCTATGTCTTTACCACTGAACTTTCCAGATCTCTTGAATTTAAACAGTCACAACCAGTTTCTTGTGTGAACAGAAATTGGAAATTATTTTTAAAAATGCAGGTATTTTCAATTGCCAACCAGCACAAACAAGGCAGCTCTACTGAATTATTTCTGGTTTTGACAAAGTGTTTTCTTGAGTGAGGTTTATTAGGCTTGGTAATGCCATAGTTTATAGCAATTTTTTCACATAATCTTCAGCTCTTCATCTCATTAATTATGCAAACAGCCTTGTGGTATCCATCTTGTAGAATCATGCGAGAGGAGAGACAGAAGTGCTTTCTGATGCTTGGATTTTGCAATGTTCATGCCATTACTGCCACATTTAATGCTCAGCTACACACCACATCAGATGCTGCAGGTCAGAAATTGCCCTTCAGATTTTGTCCTACACCATCATCCTGAAGGAAATGGCCCAGAATCATAAGTTAGTTTGTCAGTTCACTGGCAGAAATCTGGAGGTGCTGATAGACAGAATGTTGGAGAAGAGGCAAGTGCTTTTTCCTGTTGACATGCAAAGGAGACCATGCAGCCAGGCTGGACAAAGATTATGGCCCAGATTAAAGCACTGTTCCAGGTGAAATGCAATGCATACAGTGTGGGGAGATGGCTAACGATCTTCTGTACTCTATGAGGGTAAGTGCCCACCATCTTCTCTCTGCTACCTTGCACTGACCGGGCCACCACTTACGCCTATTCTGTAACTGCTCGACATCTCATCAAGGCTCATAGACTAAAACTCTAATTATTACATACATAATGTCCACTCAATGACTCGCAAGCACCTCATCCTTCCAAACTACGAACCCTTCCTCATCTACATCCTACCCACTCAATGGGGACATCTCATCATCTCTCCTGTCCTTGCATCACCACTAACTGTTCTTCCATCCATGTTATCATACTCAGTCTCTCCTTTTCACTCATTGCAGGAAAGGTTCATCCATCCCTAGACTGTTGTCTCAATAACAGCCTGACCAACCTACCTGTACTCCCAGACAATTGCACCTGATTTGCAGGACAAACCATTTCCAAGCCCTGGACTGGAATCGGTCGAGCCCCTTGACTAACTGTTGCAGTAATCACTGATAAACCACTGGGGACTGGTTTCCTTTGACTTTGAAAGATGGCTGTTTGGTTGAAACACGCACAGTGCATCTGCCTCATAAGCTGTTGGAACATGTTGTACATGAGACAATGATATAGCATGGTGCTGTAGACTAAGACAATAGGAGCAGAAGTAAGCTATTCAGCCCATCGGGTCTGCTCTGCCTTTCAATGAGATCACCACTGCTCTAATATAGCAATGTGTCCACCCCATTGATTTATCAGTACTTCCTGTCATGACTAGCTGACACCTTTCCCAATGTGCTAAAAAGCAATGTGAGTCACATCCAAGTGAGTGCAAAGCATGAGAATACTAAGAAATGAAGTTAACAGCCATAAGATGCATTTTATGTAGATGCACCAGATGCATGTGTATCCCTACATGCAAAGCAATCAACGAAGTAGTAAGTCATAAGCACTCCTGAGCTCCGGCTGAAACATTGTGATAGTTGGTCCAAAAGCAAGCATGATGATGGATGAAGAACAGGGGAGGAGGATGTCCATGCAGCATGTAGGTACGTTGTAAGGAAGACATTGTTGGATGAAGGCCCAAAGCAGCATTCAGTAAGCTGCTGCCACCAGATAACCGCTCTGACAGGAATATCAGGAATTAGTGTCCCGTCTAGTTTCTCAAGGGAGGAGAAAAAAATTGGAAGCTACATAGAAATGAGGCAAGTTGGGTACTAATGATGTGGAATTGCAAGGTCACAAGGTCATAGATTCATAAAGTCATGGAGTCATAGACGCATACAGCAAGGAAACAGACCCTTCACTCCAACTGGGCCATGCCGACCATGTTCCTAAACTAAACTAGTCCCACTTCCCTGCATTGGGCCCATTTCCCTCAAAACCTTTCCTATTCATGTACTTACCCAAATGTCTTTTAAATGTTGTCACAGTACATGTATCCACCATTTCCTCTGGCAGCTCATTATGGTATGTGGGCCTTCATTGCGAGACATTTCGAGTACAGGAGCAGGGATGTGTTGTTGCAGTTATACAGGGCCTTGGCGAGACCACACCTGGAATATTGTGTGCAGTTTTGGTCTCCTTTTCTGACAAAGGATGCTCTTGCTCTCGAGGGAGTGCAGCGAAGGTTTAGCAGTCTGATTCCAGGGATGGTGGGTCTGATGTGTGAGGAGAGATTGACTTGGTTGGGATTGTTTTCGCTGGAGTTCAGATGAATGAGGGGGGATCTCACAGAGACTTATAAAATTCTAACAGGACTGGACAGCGTAGATGCAGGGAGGATGTTCCCAATGGTAGGTATGTCCAGAACCAGGGGTCACAGTATGAGGATTCAGGGTAGACTATTGAGAACGGAGATGAGACATTTCTTCACCCAAAGCGTGGTGAGCCTATGTAATTCATTACCACAGGAAGTAGTTAATGCCAAAACATTGAATGTATTCAAGAGGTGACTAGATATAGCACTTGCAGTGACTGGGATCAAAGGTTACGAGGAGAAAGCAGGATTAGGCTAGTGAGTTGAATGATCAGCCATGATCTTAAAGAATGGTGGAGCAGGTTTGAAGGGCTGAATGGCCTCCTCCTGCTCCTATCTTCTATGTTTCTATGTTTCCATACACTAACCGCTCTCTTTGTAAAGAAGTGGCATGTCAGGTCCTTTTTAAAACTCTCGTTTCTCAACTTAAAATTAGCCCCCTACTTTTGAACTCCCAACTTTAGGGAAAAGACCCTTGCTATTCATCTTATCTCTGCTGCTCATGATTTTATAAACTTGCATAAGGTCAGCCCTCAACCTCCTATGCTCCAACGAGAAAAGCTCCAGTCTATTTTTATAACTCAAGCCTTTTGTTCCAGCCAACATCCTGGTAAATTTTTTCTGAACCCTCTCCAGCTTAATAATATCCTTCATATAATGAGGCGACCAGAACTGCACTCAGTACCCCAGAAGTGGCCTCACCAACTTCCTGTACAACCTCAACATGACATCCCAATTCCTATACTCAAAAGATCTGAGCAATGAAGGCAAGCTTGCTGAACACCTTCTTAACCTTAAGGAAATGGAAAATATTTTTCTCAGTATCAAGTTTTTCCTTTTTAAAATATTGCCATATTTTTCCACATTTCTGCCCATTGCCCATGCCACTCAAGGGAGCAAAAATACTCTGCCTCAGAATCCACATGACATAACCCTGTCTCAGGATAAATCCTGCAAAACCAGCTTAAAGTCAATATGTAAAACTGCAGCCATCTTGGTTTACAAAGAATCCGTAAACTCAATAAAATATATTTGAATTGGAAGTACTATCATGTTGTGTTTGTGGGGCCTCGCTGTGTTCAATTTGACTGCCACATTTCCTACAATATAACTGTCCTTCAAAAATTCTTCATTTGCTTTTAAGGTTTCGGGGCATCTTGAGGTTGTGAAAAATGCTACTTTCCTTCCTTTCATAAAATACATGCAAATACACTTTCTTAATAATCTTAATAAAAGGCACATTGTTTATGTTGCCTTCAACTACTGAAAATTGCAATGTAAAAGTTTGCACTGAAACAACTAAAGCATTTGTTGCATCATAAACTTGTATCAGCTGCCAAAATGGCAGAGGTGTTTTGGCAGAGTGCCATTCCTGGAACTGATTCCGCTCAAAGAAACATGCACTGAGGCAAATCGACCCAAGAGCAGATCCTGTGCCTACTTTCACTGAATTCACCCACTCTAATTTCCCCCGTTTCACAATCATTCCACTGTCATTTTGCAAACTTCATGCCCAAAAAGAATCTATATTTTCACTATTTAATTACAAACATACGTGTTACCTAGAATTTTCTCTGTTTCTTTGTTTAGGACATGTGAGTGCATAAATAATGGTGAGATGTGTCTGGGCTACATTGTTACAGCATATGACACACTTTCAACACCTTTTGTTGTCTAGTCCAGAAACTGAGCTCACCATTCACATCAATGGCATTGAGATAAATCACTAGGAAATCTAGGCCAGATACATTGTAATAAACCACCTGATAGTTTCTGCGATGCTAAATCCCTGAAAATGATCTGATCATGAAGGTGGTTCATTCATGGAATTAGACTTCCAAGTTTTATTTCCATTTCAAATCAAAGAAAAGACCCAACAAACAACGCCAACCCTGAATCTAAAGCAACAGTACACATTATCCAGAATTGTCTAATTTTGGACAAGATAATTTTGGGTAAGATATATGAAATATAGAACATGGGTGCGAATACCATTCAGCGAACCATCAATGTGGGGACAACAAGGTGCAGGGCTGGATGAACACAGCAGGCCAAGCAGCATCATAGGAGCAGAGAGGCTGAGGACTTTAGTTTAACAATTAAAGAAGGAAAATATTTATAGAGATAAGTGAATTAAATGTTTTGTTTTTCTAAACAATCCGACAAGACGGTCTGACGCCAATTAATATCCTTTGTTGTCAACTTACAACGGTTAAATGTAATCCTCAAACCCATCGCAATGTGGTGAGGCATAACACAAAACGCTTGTTATGCCCAATCGAAGCCACTTTGCGGGTGGCTTTTATATTTACGCTTTATCAGATGTTGTTTTTGTTTCAGTTTCAATCTAAAAATCACAAACAGAGGACCAGCACAGCAGATCAGAGGGACTACACTTCCTGGAAGCAGTTCCAAGCGCCTTACCTCGTACGTTCCTGGAATGTGAGTGAGAAGCGCTGACAGCGTTGCTTGCATCCAACTCTTTGTGTCTTCTTCCCTTTCTCTTTGATGGTATTTCAGGCGCTTGGGAGGAGGGGGGGGGGGGGGCGGTCGGAAGCTCTCCTGCCTTTGACGATACTATCACTGTCGCCTTTACCTCGCGTCTTCCCAGGCACTCCACTGGCACTTGGGTTGAGGGCAAAGGAGAGTGCAGGAAAGCCGAAACTATCGCTGGCAGCGTGTGCAACTGCATCGACAGGCAAACAATGAAAGCTCGGAAACTAGCGCCAACTCCGCCTGCTCCTTCGGTTCACCCGGCTATCAGCCGGCTCCCCACTCCTGAAACCAATAAAGTATTTCCTCTCTTCCTTTCACACAGTTTCTGCATAAAGTATTTAAGAACAAAAGCGTGTAATTGACCGCCACCTACTGGTTGAAAGTGGGGGGGATAGAGCCAGACATCAAAACACACACTCACAACAGACTGTCTTTAGCTCGTCTGGCACTGTGGAATTGAAGCGAAGATATGTCAAAGGGGTATTAGTATTTTCATTTTTACATTTTTTCAATGTTAATGCACACTGGTGCAGTGTTCATTCCAATTATTTTTATTTTCGAAGATTTCCAATCTCCCATTTTCGTCTCAATGCACTAACTTGCATTGTTCTAGGTGTCTGCACAGCAACAATAAGCACATTCATTTTGGCAATTGCAGATAAAATTCAGAATGGTATGGACAATTCTTCCTTCAACACCACTTGTATCTCAGTCGTGCTGCAACTGGAAACGATTATGCTCTCTGCAGTTGATAGACGGGTCTTCTCACCAGAATGGGACTTTCTGAATACAGTAAGCGGCATTACATTCGTTAGTAATTGAACTGTGATCTATGAAGAGATTTGGCAAACTTGGTTTGTTTTCACTTGAACGTCAGAAGACCTGATAGAAGTTTACAAAATTATACTAGGTATGGATAGAATGGATTGCCAAAGACTTTTTTTCCCAGGGTAGAAATGTCTATTATTAGGGAGCATAGATTGATGGTAGAAGGGGGTAAGTTTAAAGGAGATGTGAGAGGCATTTTGTTTTTACACAGAGGGTGGAAGTGCCTGGAATGTGCTGCCAAAGGAGGTGTGGAGGCAGATACGATAGTGATGTTTAAGAGGCATCTTAACAGATACATGAATAGGCAAGGAATAGACGGATAAGGACCACATACGGGTAGAAGGGTTTTTTAGTTTAGAAAGGCATCATGTGTAGGTGCAATCGTTGTGGGCCGCACAGCCTGTTCTTATGCTGTCCTGTTATTTGTTAATTTAGGAAAAAGTAACACAAAGTGGGGAGGGAAATAGAAGGGATTGGGTGTGTGTGTGTATGTTTGGAGCCAAAAACCCACTCCTGGGAGTGAGTGGGGGAAATACAGCCACACTTTGAGATTTTCAAGGAGCCATAGGTAGATTTCCTCTCCAATTAGGGGCTCTTGAAGCTGGAGGTCTATATGAAGCCTTCTCATTTGATAGGAGCATGTAATGGCCCAGTGGTATTATCACTGGGCTATTAATCCAGAGACCCAGATAATGTGCCAGGGACCTGGGTTCAATCCTATTATGGCAGATGGTGGAAATTGAATTTGATTTTCTGGAATTAAGAATCTAATGATGACTATGAATCCATAGCTGATTGTTGGGGGGTGGGGGGGGAACCCATCTGGTTCACTAATGTCCTTCGGCTGACATGTGACTCTTATCTGCCTTGTGGGCAATTAGGGATAGGCAATCAATGAACGAATAAAGGGTGGGGGGAAAAAGGATGGTAAATAACCGACATGGGCATTTCAAAGAAAATGCTTTTGCATCATGTTTTAGAAGTCTAAACAGCAGGGAAAACATCTCACCAAGCTGGTCTATGGCTGCACCCAAACCCAGACAGGCATCAGAAGCCTCTGAGCCTGCCTGGTAGATAACCATTGCTACCACATGCACCTAAGTAGATTGGCAAATTGGAGCCAACTGGACTTTGAAGTGGGTTTTACAAGACATGGGGAAATCAGCACCAGGATTTTCTATCTATCTCTGTCCACCCTCAGTAAACATTCAGCCCAACGAAGCAGCAAAAAAGAGGACAGCAATGAATGGGGTACAGATGAGTGCAAATGGATAGCAATTATGAGAGAAGAAAGATGTTAAGCAATGAAGAGAAGAGGATTGCAGCAGCTGGGATCAGTGTAGGGATGTGTAACAAATTTTACTTTGCTGCAATAATTTCCTGGATTGGTTGGTGTCATTTACTCACATAAACAGTGAGACCATTTCACATCAATGAAAGTTGAACCGGTCACATATTTGATAGCCTCGACCATGATATAACACTTATGATTTGAACTGAATATCAATGTCCTGTTTACTTCAGAATCCCTCTGAAGATTGCAGGGAGCAAACAATTAATGATGCAAGGCTTGATTTAAAACCAAAAATCATTATGCTGCTACATTTTACATCGTTAGCTCACTGAGCCAGTTGTTCTGTGGTTTGCAGATGTTTCATTACCCTTCTAGGCAACATTATTAATGTGACTCCCCAAGATATATAAACCTGGAATAACACTCAGACCAATAGAGAATTACAACAGAGACACAAACACCTGATTAGCGGATCCCCACACTCAATCTATTCAACCCAAGAATTTCTCTCACAGCTCAAGGGCACAAAAATTGATGTTCTGCTTCCTTCTGGATTTATATGAGCTCCTGGTGTAATGGTCTTGTCATTTCTCGTTCTGTTGTTTTAGCAGCAGTCTGTATATGGAGTCTATTTCTACGTGTTTGTTAATGGAGTCCAGTGTTGAGAACCAGGCATCCAGGAATTCCCTTGCATGTCTGGTGTTTGCTTGCCCTAGTATGGTCACTTTGTCCCAGTTGAACTGATGGCCCTCATTGTCTGTGTGTACTGAGATGCATCCCCATAAGGACGCGAGAAAAACGGACTTCTTAGTGGCACTAGAGTCAACACTAAAAACCAATGGACTCACCGACAAAATTAAACAGGCCATCAGACAAATGGTAGTCCCAGCACTTAACCGTAAACATGAATCAGACACCTTCAGCACAGCTCTAGAAGGACTGAAGAAGAAAACAACATTACAATCCTACCAGCAGACAAAGGACAAATGACCGTGGTTCTGAACAGTACAGGCGACATCAAGAAAGCAGAGGCACAACTCACAGATACAACCACATACCAACAGGTGGTGTAAGACTCCACACCACAGCGAGGGAACAGGATAACCCAGACACTCAAGAGACTTAAACATGCAGGAGAGATCACCAACACCAACTACATCAGAATGAAACCAGATTGCTCAAACACGCCCTGCATCTACAGACTCCCCAAGATATATAAACCTGGAATAACACTCAGACCAATAGAGAATTACAACGGAGACTCAAACACCTGATTAGTGGATCCCCACACTGAATCTATTCAGCCCAAGAATTTCTCTCACAGCTCAAGGGCACAAAAATTGAAGGGGACTAAATCATGATCTCCTTCGATGTTACAGCACTATTTACGTCCATTAAATACTGTTAGCCAGAGAGACACGAGCCACACTACGAGGCAGACCAGGAGCACCGACCCTGAACACCGGCAACAACATCAGCAAGGACAGCTTTCTGAAACTGCTAGATTTATGCCTCACAACGCACTACATGTTCAACAGACAGATATACAAACAAATCAATGGCACACCGATAGGATCACCCATCTCAGGTCTCATTATGGAAGCAGTGATACAGAGATTGGAATACACAGTCCTTCCTATAATCCAACCAAAACCGTGGGCAAGATACGTGGACGACACATTTGTAATAATCAGATGCACAAAAGTAGAGAAAACTCACCATCATGTCAACAACCTCTTCACAAACATAAATTTCAATAAGATAGGAAGAAAACTACAAACGGCTCCCGTTCTTAGACGTAATGATAGAGAGACTGACTAATGATGAATTCCAGACCCAATATAGAGGAAGGCCACACACATGGACCAAATCCTTAACTTCAATAGCAACCACCCCCACCATACACAAACAGAGCTGCATCAAGACACTATTTAAACAAGCCGCATCAAACTGCAACATCCCGGAACTCTGGAGAATGGAACAGGAACACCTACACAAAGTTTTCACTGACAGCAGATACCCAAGAAGTTTTGTCTGCAGATGCCCACAAAACAAATGACAGTCAGAGGATATAGTACAACAGAAGACACTAGCAACACTACCCTATATCAGAAATATATCAGAAATGACTACCAGACTCCTAAGATTGCATGAGATCATGATCGCACACAAACCTACAGCAACACTGCGCCAAATTTATCAAAGACTAAAGGCCTCATACCAACAGTAAACAAGACCAACTTATTATACAGAATACCATGCAGTGAGTGCAATAAATGGTACATTGGACAAACACGGAGGAAACTGACGACTAGGATACATGAACGCCAGCTGGCAGTAAAAAGACACGACCAATAATCACTTGTCTCAATACACACAGACAATGAGGGCCATCAATTTGACTGGGACAAAGTGACCATACTCGGACAAGTGAACATCAAACATGCCAAGGGAATTTCTTGAGGCCTGGTTCTCAACACTGGATTCCATTAACAAACACATAGAAATAGACCCCATATACAGACTGCTGCTAAAACAACAGAACCAGAAACAAGACCATCACACCAGAGAATCATATAAATCCAGAAGGAAGCAGAACACCTAGGCTTCGATTAGAGGTCGCACTGATGATGTTGCCTAGAAAGGTAACGAAATGTCTGCACACCTCAGAACAACAATCCTGTCATCACTCAGAATCCATGGGCTGAAGTTAGTGACCCTGGCCAGTCAGAAAACCAGGGCAATCTCACCATTTTCTGGAGCCTGAACAGAATTTATTCAAGCAGACACTTCAGTTCCAGTGCGCCACCAGGAGAGGTGGCCACTGCTGGTACAGCAGCAGGCTTGGGCCAAAAAGCAGTGTTGAAGGCCACGAAGAAAGGTAAACACTGGTGAGGGTAAAGAGGTTGGCATGGAGGGAAGAAAGGCCTTCTGAAGATAGCCCCCAAAGACCACAGTCTCATTGATAGGGTATACCTGGCAGCCTGCTCACAGAGTGGTCTGTCATTGGTAACATACAAATGTAGAAACATGTGAAATAAGAGCAGAAATAGGCTATCCACTTCCCAAAACTTGCCCTGTCTTTCAACACAATCATGGATGATCTTATGTGTTTTGAATTCCACATTCACACCTCACCCTGACAACCTTTGATTCCCTTTTCCAACACAAATCTACCTACCTCTACCTAATAGCATAGAAGACTAACCCCTAATTTTTAAACAGCATACCTGGTTCTGAACT